AAATGTTGCTGAGAGCCATTGCCTCCCAGTATCACGTTGCATAGTCCACTAGAACTAATGCAAAGCGATGCCCCCATGCTGACCGTTCTAATGGCCCGATGAGGTCCATACCAATTCTCTCAAAGGGGACTTGCATGAGGAAAAGGGCGCAACTGCGCTTTTGGGGAGGCTGCGGGATTTACTAACTGACATTCACGACAAGCCACGCACCACCTGCGCACATTCTCGTGAATGCCAGGCCAAAAAAATCGGGTCATTAAACGGTTTAACGTTGCTGCCTGTCCCAAATGTCCTGCCATGGGATTACAATGAGCCGCCTGGAAAAGCATTTCCCGACGGCTTTTAGGTACCAATGTGACGACACTTTCGGTCGTTTCTTGTTTGGGTCTGTGTCTTTGCAGGTGTCCGGCTGATTGCTGCGTGATAGGGAACACCGGCGCAGAGGTGGTTGATCCTCTATAAAACATATTTTTGCTCGACGGATCTGTGTGCTCTTGGTTGGATCCAGTGTCGGCTCTCCGGTCTTTTGTGCCCTGTTTTCCAAGGCGGATTCAGTAACGATCCATTTAGGTCTGACGGTTAGATAAATTTAAATATTTTTCAACGCAAATGCACTCGTCGTCTTATTTGTAGTGACCCTTTTGGGGTTGCAACAACCAACTACTGAGCTGTATCTTGTTTTGTCTGAGTGTCTTGGGTCACTCGATACACCCTATCTTTTAAAATAGCAAAATAGGGATAAGAAGGGGGTCGTGCTAGTTGGAGAGGCTGCCCATCGATGGTGCAGACCTGTTCAAATGCATTTTTCAGCGTTTCATCCCAAGACTGCTCCAGGGAAAAATCATCACGTTTTGTGAGGGTTAGCCTTTCGACAGCGTTCGGTTCCCCTGGCTCAGATCCGGTTAGTCTCGGTTCAGCCTCACCCGTCTGCATGACCGCCTCCCCTCCCTGCTTCTCCTTTTTCCAAGAGACATCCGCACACAAATTAATGACTAAAAGCTGGTCAATTGGTTCCAAAAATCAGCAGATGCCTGAGGTGCGGGTTAACTGCAACCTTCACATTATGCTTCTGTCCCTGAAATTGGATAGCTAGGAACATTAAATGATACTTCACGACATCCCCGTGCATGCATCGCACCTGAACCACGCGGCTCTTATCCAATGCCTCTGGCAGAATCAGGCTTTGATAGATCGAGGTTTGGTTACATCCTGAATCCACCAAAGCCCAATAAGTACCCCCCTTAATACTCACAGGTATTTGATACATGCCAGCTTGATCTGGGGCAGCCTGCGGGGCATCCGGAACCCGGATAAGTGTCCTCACCTCCATCACCGGACACGATCAATAAAATTCCCTGGGTCTCTGCAACGCCAACAAGCCAGCCCAGACTTCCCTGCCACCCTTGTGGTGGGAAGCGGGTCAAGAGATTGGCGTGGAGAGAGCGGAGGAATGGCAACAGACGCGGCGCTCGAGCTGACCGCCCCCGCCCCCCTGGACAGGGGTCTCAGCCCAGCTGACTCCAACGCCGGACCACCCCTCCATCGGGGTTGCGCTCGAGGAGGGAGATTCACCCAAGACCTAGGGAGAGGGAGAAGAGAAGAGAGAGACAGAAGGCAGGGTTTCGCCGACCCCGTGGCACGCCACCATCTGGTCCTCCACCAGTTGAATGGCCAGGTCCAGCGACGTTGGGCGATGACACTGGACCCACTGCGCGGTTTTCTTCGGCAGCCACGCAATAAACCGTTCCAGCACCACGTGATCGATGATCTGGACGACGTCGCCTCCCCTGGCCAACAGCCATCTGTGGCAGCTGCTGAGCCATCATGAAGGGCCGGCCGTTTTTCCCCAGCTCCAGCGATCTGAACCACTGACTGTGCTGCTCGGGGTTCAGGCCGACCCACTGGAGGTTGTCGTAGACCAGGAGGTTCTGAACTGGCAGCTGTTGTGCAGTCAACTGTGCCTCCCCCGAAAGCATCAGGATGAGGCGCAACGGCCAGTTCATCCGGGGCTACCCACATGCCTCCGTGGTCCTCTCGAAGAGGTAGAAGAAGGCCTCCAGATCATCCTGCGGACCAATCTTGATCAAAGGCATGTGGGCTGGCAGGGCTGGGGCAGATGTAATTCCCCCAGGCCGAACCTCCTGGTCCATCCAGCTCCGGAACAGCTTCCGAGGCTGATGGTGTTCTCGATGGAGTCCCGTGAGTGGATGACCTCCACAAACGGTGAACTTGACGGAGATGACATGATGGCGGCGTCATTCCTACTTCCTTCCCGGGTTTCAGCACCAGTGTGACAAAGTTCAGAGTAAGGAAGGAAGAGGGCCGGGTCGGCTTATGGAGACTTGTGCGGTTTTATTCAGTAAATCAAAAAAGTCGCGCTCTCTGCGCATTCAAACAATCCCAATTCACACAATTACTCAGTTCCTTGGATTTCTTGAGCTCTCAGCCTGGGCAATATGCACAAGTCTCCATCCCATCTGTGTCTGTCTTCCACGTTCTACAGTCGCTCTTTTATCCGGTCTCTCCATGCCAATCACTGCAATAAGATACAGGTGTTCATCATTTTGCACTTGACCTACTTACCGCTCATCTCCCGCTGCAGACCTCGTTGAACCACGCCCCCTTGCCACAAAGTGGTATCGCCCATCCCTACAAAGAAACGTCATACGTTGAAGTGACACATTCTAGTGCCTTATGTTTTAAAGAACACTAAAGGTGCGTTCTGATTGACAGGGTCCCTACACAGTGTTCACTGCTCCTTACTCCCTAATTACGGGATATCCATTGAAGTGGACTTCGATGACAGCAATCACTCATTTGGAACACCCTGGAACGTCATCAATGAAAGGCAATGACAGGGACATGCAGATTATAATATAATATGAATAAGTATTGTGATTTATTTTACTTTCAAATTTAAATACATATACATTTTGACTATTTATTGCTTACATAATTGTATACATATTTTATATGTTTAGACTATTAACAGAGTGTAGTGGTCTCATCTCGTGCTCTTTTCCACACACAGCCTCATTAACTCTCCTGAGGTAAAGTATAAAAAATGATAGCCTCAGCTGTTTATTGCCGGTTTTACTTGGTTTACATTTGCATATTGTAGGCTATTGTATGAATAGGTAAAACTATCGCCATAGCCATTCATAAATACTCGAGTTTGTTCCATTGCAGAGCCTTTAAAAAAAACTCTTTCAACGGCTCTGCTCCATGATTAGTTCTAACTGGTGACGCCGTGCGCAAAGACAGTTGGGTGATTTTCCCTCTCCACTTCCTGTGAAGTGATGTGTCGATGTTCCCTTATTCCCTACGCCATTTACAGTGCCCTTCGAACTGAACATGTTCACTCCCGTCGGATTGAAATCTCACTGAAGTCTACTGCAGTCCACTTATGGTTGAATGTAACGCACCTCAAATAAATTTATCACATTATAACACATTTACATTTTTAAATTCCACCTCAAATGGATTAATACAAGAATAGTACTTAAAAGCACTTACAGCTGTTGTGATAGAAATATATTTATTAGCCATTTATAACATGTAAGTTAAAATGGCTCAATATTTGGCAGGTATTGCATTAAAATCACCTTTTTTTTATTCATGCATTTGTAAATGAGTTATTAATCATTTATGAACACCTTTACAAACCCTTTACAAAGGGAACCTCAATGTAAAGTGTTACCGATAATTAAGTATAAAATTACAAATGAGTGACAGTTTGTTTATACCCACAGAAGTAAGTCATCTCTGGATCAAAGTAAAACAAAATGTCACAATGTTACATTTATGTACATTCATGTTTTTTTTTCTCTGAAATTCATATTTTATCGAAAAAAAACCTATACATCGGAGCTATTCAAATCCATTTCCTGCAGGGCTGCAACCCATAGAGTTAATTTCCAACCCTATGCAAACACGCCTGCCCATAATAATCACATAATCTTGAATACCCTGATTTGCTGGTTCATTATTTAATCAAGGTTGGAACTAAACACTGTTGGTTGTGGCCTTCCAGAAACAGAATCAAATGCACTAGCCCTGTTATACATAATTTTAATAAAATAATGTGGTAACACTTTATTTTTATAGTCAACTTTAGACATTCTGCAAACAGTAAGTAACTTTGCAACTACATGTCATTAGAGTATTAAAAGACTGTCTGCTTCATATCTTCCAACACTTTATTTTGATGGGTCCACAACATACTATGAGAAACATTGCAAATATATGACAACTTATTCTACTAACCCTAAACCTAACCTAACGGTCTACTCTTAGAGTTAGTCGACATGTAGTTGCAAAGTTACTAGAGTGTAACCAATAATGTAATATAATTCAATACATTTTACATGTATTTTGACAAGTCACTAAACACTAATCAGTTTATTATTATACAAAGCAACTTGATATCACTTTATATTTGATCAACTGTGTGAGAAGTCTGAATTAAGCCCAATAATGTAAAACCAACCATAGACTAAATTATTGCACAGAAGTTATGTTTCTTTCTTGATTGAAATTGCGTTCTGGGGGAGGGGATTCCCCCTCTGCTGATTTATTTAATTGCCTATCCTCGTGTGCCTTCAACTGCTTCGACTGAGACTAAATTGTTAGAGTCTCTGAATTTTGTTTTGGACCTCACTGTGGACAAAAACATCAGAAATGTTATTCAGAGTATATTCTTTTGTGTCCTACAAAAGATAGAATAAAGAAAGTCATAAGGCACCCTGACAAAGAAACTTTCCAGTGTGGCTAACCCACCTGCCTGACGTGTTCAATCTCTGCCCACTTTCATTCTTACCATGGGTGTGACACACTATTTAAGTCATCTGACGAACAGGATTTTAATCTCTTTGGATTTCTCTTCAGCAAACACCACAAATACTTTGTTTGGCTAAAACCTAAATTATACAATTTATAAGAACTATCCAAAAACAATGGCATTATCTATTCTTAGAACAAACCTTTTTGTTTTTTCAGCAATGTCTGGTGCAAAGCAAGGCATGTTTTGTTTATTATCCTCTTCTTTTTTTTCAGGTAGAAACAGTGTTCCTGATCTAGAAAACATCCAGAGTTCTCAACATGAAAGGTTACTATAAATTTTCTTTTTCAATTTTTTTTTAAGTAATCCGTAAATGTATTTTTTTTAAATAATAATTGTATATGCTTTTAGGCCCAGCTTATTTTATTTGTTGATAGGAGCTCTGGAATTTTATTTTTTTTTAAGAAATGTACATTTATGCACAAGGCAGTGCATGCTTATTTATATAGCATGTTTTAAACATAGTGATAATTCAAAGTGCTTTAATGAGCATAATAAAATGGATTCAAAATAATTACAGCAAAATTTTTATCCTTGCAGTCAGAAAATGAGGGGAGAGTTTCACGGTCATTTAGAGAAGAGCATTCGTCCGTACATTGATCTGATTGACACTCTGCGGTCATTTGGCATTCACAAGGACTTGGCATTACCGACTATTGCAGTGATTGGAGACCAGAGTTCTGGAAAAAGCTCTGTGTTGGAAGCGCTGTCTGGAATTGCCCTACCAAGAGGGAGTGGTGAGAAATTTCATACTCATATTCAAATAGAATGCTAATAATAAGAGTATGATTTCTTTAGTCAGCATCTGTACTGTATTTACTTTGTCACTTTATTTTCCACCGTTAGTTTTCAACTGATTGCTAATGTGTTTGCTATAGGAATTGTCACCAGATGTCCACTAGAGCTGAGGCTGAAGAAGGTAACAGGTGGAGTCAGCTGGAAGGCTTTTCTTTCTTACCGTACGAAAAGAATTGAATTTGTAGATTCCTCATTAGTTGAAGGACATGTTGAAAAAGGTTAGTAGAACTATCTTTTTTAAAGAATAAAGTTAAAGCTTTTAAAAAATACAATGATATGTATCTACTGTATGTATGTGACAGAGCTGTTGCACACTATGGGAACTATTTGTTACTTACTTATATACAGTGGGTACGGAAAGTATTCAGACCCCCTTAAATGTTTCTCTCTTTGTTATATTGCAGCCATTTGCTAAAATCATTTAAGTTCATTTTTTTTCCTCATTAATGTACACACGGCACCCCATATTGACAGAAAAACACAGAATTGTTGACATTTTTGCAGATTTATTAAAAAAGAAAAACTGAAATATCACATGGTCCTAAGTATTCAGACCCTTTGCTCAGTATTTAGTAGAAGCACCCTTTTGATCTAATACAGCCATGAGTCTTTTTGGGAAAGATGCAACAAGTTTTTCACACCTGGACTTGGGGATCCTCTGCCATTCCTCTTTTAATTGTTTTCAGCATAGTGTATTTTTGTAAGTCAGTTTAAACCACGTAGTTTTAAATGTCCTTCCTTGTCAACTCAACCGGGAGGACCCCAGGTAAAACTTTTGATTTTAATCTTTTTTTTTTCCTGGTTAAAGAAATATATAAATGAAGAAGAAATCCAAAATATTAAATGTAATGGATGAATATATATCGAGTAATCCACTATTTTATAGAGGGGGGTCAAAATGACAAATTACACCTGACATTTGGGGCCAAATTACACGGGAGTAAAAATTACTTTAGAAAAATGGCAGCATCATTATTTTGTTTTAACACAGACATTAGCAGATATATTAATAAAATCTGCTGACTTCAGCAATCTTTGTTGCATTATACGCTAATGATGACAGTTCTAAATGGGAAAAAGCACTTTTTTTTATTTTTCCAATTTTTACATTTTTTTTTTGTCTTGCATGCCTGTAACTCAAGAAGTAGTAAAGCTATCTTTATATCCTTTTAGATTCTGGTTCTTAAACTTTTTTTGATATCTTTATTTTTAGGGACCTACTTGATTAAATGTCAAAGATATAGGAATCTCAATATGGCTCCAAAATAAATGTATTTTAATTAGGTTTAAAACCAGATGTGGGTTACTTTGCATACAAATGAAACAGTTGATTAGTCCGCTTGTTTTACAGCCCAGAATGAGCTGGCAGGAAGAGGGGTAGGAATATGTGATGAGCTCATCACTTTAGAGGTCATGTCACCAAATGTGTGTGACCTCACACTGATTGATCTACCTGGAATTGCCCGAGTCCCAGTAAAAGGACAACCAGAGGATATTGAAAAGCAGGTGGGTTATATCATTGATTTTGCACTCCACATTCGGTACCATCCTCATCCGGTTTTAAAACTTCATGTCTTGTAGATCAAAAGTCTGATAATGAAATTTATTGGGAAACAAGAGACTATAAACATGGTTGTGGTCCCTTGTAACACTGACATTGCAACAACAGAAGCATTGAAAATGGCACAAGAAGTAGATCCTGAGGGCAAAAGAACTCTTGGTAATGTAGCGTATGATCTGAATGCACAACACCTCTTATCAAATATCTTTATTTTAATATAATTGATGTCAGCAAATGCACATTTGTGACCCTGGACCATAAAACCAGTCATAAGGCTACATTTTTTTTTAAATTGAGATTTATACATCATCTGAAATAAGCTGGATCAATAAGCTTTCCATTGGTATATGGTTTGTTAGGATAGGACAATATTTGGCTGAGATACAACTATTTGAAAATCTGGAATCGGAGCGTGCAAAAAAAAAAATCTAAATATTGAGAAAATCGCCTTTAAAGTTGTCCAAATTACGTTCTTAGCAATGCATATTACTAATCAAAAATTAGGTTTTGATATATTTATAGTAGGAAATTTAAACAATATATTCATGGAACAGGATCTTTACTTAATATTTGTAATGGAGGGAACACAGGAAGCGTGCGGATCCATCTGCAAGGCTTTATTTGCAAGAGACATGGTCAAAAACAGGCATAGGTCAGACAACGGCAAACAGGTATATTGATGGCAAGGCAAGAGGGATAATCCAGGTACAAGGCAAAGGTCCAGGCAGGGGCGAACAGTATCCAATTGGGCGGGACTCGACGGATAATCCAGGTACACAGGCAGTGATCAGAACACGGGGAAACAGACAAGGCAAGATGATGAAAACAAGGAAAAACAAGACACTAGGCTCGGTAAGGCAGCTAACACTAGGGGAGTGAAAAACGCTAGACAATACTCGGCGATCTGAACAGGAACTGAGTGAGTGTTAAATAGAGTGAGTAATGGCTCTCAGGTGAGCGCGTGATTAGTGAAGGCTGTGTGATCAGTGAATTCAGCTGTGTAAGTGCAATGGATGATGGGAACTGTAGTCCGGAGTGACATGTAACAGTCTGTGTAGTGTGAGAGTCAATGTAATGGTAGAGTGACCTCTACTGGTAATCGGCCTGAAGGCCACGGACCGGATTCATGACAATATCCTAATGATTTTTGCCATAAAAGAAAAATCGATAATTTTGACCCATACAATGTATTGCTGGCTATTGCTACAAATAGTTTGTAGTTTTGTGGTCCAGGGTCACATTTTAGAAAATATCTTCTAGCACTTCTATCAGGAAATGCAGGTTTTACAAATAACTGTTTTTCATTCTCACAGCCATTTTGACCAAGCCAGACCTCATAGATAGAGGAACAGAGAAGAACATTCTGCACATTGTTCACAACAAAGTGATTCCTCTCCGCAAAGGTTACATCATGGTGAAGTGTAGAGGACAACAGCAGATCGATGAGAAAATTTCTCTGGAGGAAGCAGCACAAATGGAGAGAGATTTCTTCCAAAACCATCCCTTTTTCAGGTAACAATGTAAAGAGAATATAATTTTTAATGAGACTTTTCTCTTCTTAGTTTATGAAAGGTTGATTTGTTTTTCATTATGACCAGTTTTGTAGCATGATTGTATGAACGAAAGTTTCAGAAATATTCAGGATGTCCCAGATGTACTGACCACTGCAAAAGCCTGCCCCCACAAACTGCATCCTTAAAAGTTACTTTTTATTAAAGTTAATGTTTGTATGTTCATTTTGGCACAGCAATGATTTTAAAAAATGATGCCTTCTTTTTTCTACAGATGCCTCTTGCAAGAGAATAAAGCGACTATTAAAGGTCTTGCCATCAAACTGACTCAGAATCTGGTTGATCATATCAAAGTAGGTTACTAAAAGTCTCAGGCCTAGGGTGTACTCACACTAGGCATGGTTGCCTTAAACTGAGTCCGAGCACGATTGTCCCCCCTCCCCATTCCCCCGTTGGCCTGCACTCACATTGCACGTTATGTTCCGAGCCGGAGCAGACTTAAAGCCCAAAACACACTGCACTGTTTGCACTAATTTTAGCAATCCTATAAGATCACCGCATGTCACACTGTGCGACATGTATCTAATAAACTTGGCTACGACGTGTGTGTAGACGGTGCGATGATAACACCTATTGACTCGTAGGCTACGACGCACGTTACTATAGAAGAATAAACATCAGCAACATGTGCTAGTGGTAAAAAAAAAGAAAGTATGATAAATCACACTTTAGCAGTTGTAGTTTTTATGTGCGCTGAAAAAAAATGGAAGCGGCGAAAGAGGAAGGCATAAGAGCTTGAGGTAAGCAGTTCTATGTTTTAGCACCATGTTGCGTTGATTTCATGTCGCATTTTTATTTGTTGGTCAGTAAACGTGGATCATATCAGCAAACACACTGTGCGATGATCATGCTGTGTCGTAGGCTATCTTTGGTCGGAAGACCGTGACAACGGCCATCTTTGAACCTCTCTCACTGAACGACACAGGACCACCGATTAGGAGCCATGATTACAAAAAACACCGCGATTGTTTCACGATGCCAATCTTTCATCTGGGACAGCCGAAAATCATGCAGTGTGTTAAGGGCTTAAGTCATTATGATGCAACTTTTTTGAAGTACGAAAAGCACTCAGAAATGTTCACGCAATCGTGCTGCACGTATCTGAAAGTTTGCAAGGTGGCAGCTGAAGTTCAGCAAGGAGTTTGCAGCTTTAAAATGATTCTGTAATTAATTACTCACCCTCATGTCGTTCCAAACCCGTAAGACCTTCGTTCATCTTTGGAACACAAATTCAGATATTTTTGTTGAAATCCGAAAGCTTTCTGACCCTGCATAGAAAGCAAGGGTCCTACCACAAAAGTACCAAGAACGTTGAGAAAATAGCATGTGCATGGTGCTGCTGACATAGAACACGCATTGCACCTTGTTTACGTGCTTGTTTACGAACCAGTCTTTGGGGGTCAAACATGTTTGGGCACGGTTCAGATCAACTAGTGTGAGTACACCCCTAATAACATTAAGCACCAGGGCCCAGTTGCATGAAAGTCCTTAAGTAATTTGACTTAGGGGTATCCCTGAGGGGAAGAAAATCCCTAAGGTAAGGGATTTCTTTAAGAGCGCTGCAACAAATGTGTTAACGGTCACCCTTACTTAAGTGTTTATACTAAGCGTTTCACGGTAGTTTCTGGCAACATATGGCAATGGGCACCGCGGTTGCTATAGTTACTGCATCTCACAATAAACATAGATATGTATACATATCTATGACTATAAACCTAACCAACTAAAACACGAACAAACATTAAATAAACATGAGCGCTGCCCATTTCTGCACTGCTTTGTGTACAGTCGTTACTGAGGAAACCGCTTTGTTTCTGCAGCGAAAGCGCCTCCTTCTGACCAATGACGGAAAATTTAGCAAATGTGAAAATTAACCCATGTTTTGATGCTGCTTGTAGTTGTAAATGTGAATTGGATGGATTGACAAGATGATAATGCATTATAAAAATCTAAACAATTAAGACAAATTATATGTTGTTATTTAATTAATGTAATAATAATGGTTTAAATTAATATAATAATGAATACAACTCGTCCATTTTCTTAAATTTATATAAAACTTTTTGTTTTGTGAAAACCTGCAAGTCATGCTTTTTACAGTAATTTTACGGTTTAATATGTTACTATAGGCATTGCCCTACTGCGCTCATAAGACATTTTTTAATACCTGCACAAATAAAATATCATAAGTCTTACATTTGAGCTTAAAAATCCTGCAGATACTGAGTTTAAGATGACTTAAGGGAGCTGTTTTGGTCCCTTAAATTTATCAAGGTGAAATAGTTTCTAAGGACTTTATAGCAATGCTTAAGGGAACACTTAGGGTGCTTTCACACCTGTAGATCGATTGCTTTGTTCCAAAACAGGGATTAAAATTATTACAATGTTACTTTTTATTCTTGGTGCGGTTCGCTTTCATACGGTAATGTTTCTAAATGGACCAAATTTGTTAATACAAGTCACGCGCGAGTAAACTGTTCTCTCATTGGTCAAAGTTCCACG